AATCCATTACTCCACAGCCTTTCCCAGTCCTCAAACATAATATTATGCCCAATATCCTGTGCCCACCTTATCATAGCCGATTTAACCATTTCATCTTGTGTATTCCATTCCAACAGCAAGTTATACATCCTTGAAAGTATCTTAGTCTTTGGTTCTAACAATTCTGTTTCTAGTTTCGATTTCTCCACCTGGAACCCTAGTTTCTTGTCATTTTTAAAAACTTCTTTAATCTGAGCATAATGTAACCAATCTCGCACTTTGTCTTTCATTTTCTCCAAACTCTGCAATTTCCAATTGTCTCCATCTTTTCTAGTATTTCCCAATATTTTGGCCATTTGGCCTCCATATTGGGTCTTTTTCGGGCCTTAGCTTCCAAAGGTGAAAGCCACCTTGGTGTTTTATTTTCCAGCAAGTCTTTATATTTTGTCCAGACATTAAACAGTGATTTTCTAACAATATGGTTCTTAAAGGCCTTATTTGCTTTAACTTTGTCATACCATAAATATGCATGCCATCCAAAAACATTGTTAAACCCTTCCAAATCTAACACATCAGTGTCTTCAAGAAGTAGCCAATCTTTTAGCCAGCAGAACGCTGCGGCTTCGTAATACAACTTTAAGTCCGGCAGGGCAAAGCCCCTCTTTGTTTTGCATCAGTTAGTATCTTAAACTTAATTCTGGGCTTTTTGCCCTGCCAGACAAACTTCGAAATGTCTCTCTGCCACTTCTGAAAGCACTCCATTTTGTCCAAAACCTGAAGTGTTTGAAATACATTGTCAGAGCTGGCCCCCTGACATACATCAACCTCTTTCTTTTATGTCTGTAAGTATTTTATGTTTTATCCATGGCCTTTTCCCACTCCAGATAAATTTTGCTATATCTTTTTGCCATTTTTTGAAGCAGACATTGTTACTTATTATCGTATCCCTCCCCTCCCAGTAACAAAGGACCTGCTAAATAAATCAGTCACTGAGAGCCAAGATTTTGACCGGGAAAGGACTTTTGTCGTTCTGCTTTGGAATATGTGATGTAAGTGTCTGGTCTTTTTTTTTTTATACTTGCTGCTTCATGATTTGGCAAGAATCAATTAATTAAACAGAATGCAAGTGGAACTTTAGGGGGGGAAACTTGAGAACTTGATGTTTAATGGCGTGGTCCTTTGTGGAGGGCTCTAATTAGAACGGGCAAGGTATCAACTTGTTTGAAGATATGAAGGGACTTTGTTCAAAGACATGATTACATTAAAAAAAAAAAAAAAAAAAAGCCTCTCTCAAAGGGGGCTGAAGACAACCGGTGGATTACAACTGGGGAATATTTCACACAGGAAACCACATCTGCTTGCATGGACTTTTGTCGTATATGGATTTATAAAAGTGAAGGTGAATCTTTGATCTTTGTAAGCTTCCCTTAGGGCTCAGGGGGAGCAAGCTTGGATTCTAGAGGAACCAAACAAGTATTAACTGTGAAATATATCCCACAGTATTGTCTCTTACAGAAGGTTATTTGGTTTGGGAAAATACCAGTTCATTGAAAGACATGAAAGACCACTGTGTCTTCATTTTAACTAAACAAAAGAAAGGTGGAAGACAGCCCAGAGTCCTGGAAGGTAAGACGGTGGAATGAGAAGGGACTGCGCCAAAAGCAGTGGATGGACAACAACAGGAAGAACAAAATTTTCCTCTTGCATGTTAATTTACATATAGATTTGTTAAATACTATGAAAGTCGCATACCAGTGGCTGTCAAGATAAGATAAAGGATTAAGATTGGTATGGTGTTGGAAATACATAAGAGAGAAAAAAGCAGGAACAAGAAACAAAAAATTTTTCCTGACAAGTCAGAACATGGGAAGTCTCTTTAAATTATATCATTCGGAATGTTTAATTGGTTTTATTATTTGTACAGTGGTACCTTGGTTTAAGACCAGACTAGTTTACGACCATTTTGGATTATGACCAACTCAAACCCAGAAGTGCATGCTTCGGTTTGCGACCTTTTTTTGGATATTATGAACTGAGTGTTGGGAACGGGACATACCCCAGAAACCTGAAAAGAGGCAAACATTACTTTGATACCCAGATAAGATAAGGACATAACAAATCCTAAAAATGTCCGACCGATTTCATTATTAAACTGGGATTATAAACTGTTTGCAGCAATATAAGCAAACAGACCTTAAAAAGTTATGAATGATTGAATGCACCCCCGGTTGGCAGTTAAAAGATAATGTTAGAAATCATAATTGTCAGGGGGCTTCTGATATATCCAGCTGGCTCAGCAGAAAAGAACAGAACCTTCCAGAAGGAAGCAGCATTTTCTGGTTTCTGCCCTCAAGACTTTAGCGGTGACATTTTGTCTCACTGCCAGAAAAGCATCTCTAGCTCCCTAGTTTCTGTGGCAACGCTTTTTGGGATGTGGTTCTTTGCAGGGTCATTTGTATTTCAATAAAGGCCTATCTTTCCACTTGGAGACTTCCTCCTTTTCTTTGGGGTTTCTGTGGGTAACCTCCAGTCTGGGAACCTCTTTTTGAATTTCTCCTACATATATGAGACTGAAACACTATAAATATTGGTAGAAACAACTCTACTGTGAAATTCAGTTTACTGATGGGGGGGTATTCCAAAGCAGAGCCCATCTTTTTCACGGGATCCAACTGTTACAGAAATTATGGGGGGGGGCACATCTTTAAAGTTGTTAAATGTTACAAATATTATGCATAAAGGTATACTTTCGACTTAACAGCTCAGGGAAGTTACCTAGCTTAAAAATCACATAACATCAACTCCTTTGCCAGTTTCCTTCATTCCACTACCAATTTGCTTCATTGGCCAAGGACTTGGAAACCACTCGGTCCCCGCCATAATCCCTCAAGCGGGAGGTCACATAGGCAAAGGAAGGTACTCATAGGTGTCAATCACTGGGCAAAGGCACTCCTCCAGACTTGCCCAGGTGGCAGACTATGCAAACCCAAGTTCTATTGTCCCTTTGTAGTACAGTGGTGCCTCGCAAGACGAAAATAATCCGTTCCACGAGTCTCTTCGTCTAGCGGTTTCTTCGTCTTGCAAAGCAACCCTATTAGCAGCTTAGCGGATTAGCACTATTAGCGGTTTAGCGGCTATTAAAGGCTTAGCGGCTTAGCGGCTAAAAGGCTATTAGCGGCTTAGCGGCTTAGAAAAAGGGGGGGGAGCGAAAAAAATCACAAGACTCGCAAGACGTTTTCATCTTGCGAAGCAAGCCCATAGGGAAATTCGTCTTGCGAAGCGCATCGAAAAACGGAAAACCCTTTCGTCTAGTGGGTTTTTCGTCTTGCGAGGTATTCGTCTTGTGGGGCACCACTGTAGGTGCTTAGAATGTACTTCCCAACACATATCCTGTATCCGCCTGTTGCCCCAACACATTCCTCCTACTATGTTGATCATGTATAACCCTCCCCTTTTCTGATGTAGGAATGATGTAGCGATGATGCTTAATGAACTGTATGCTGGGATAAGATGGAAACTTTTAAAAGTCCTTGTCACCCATCCTCGGGGTTCAAAATTCCTCTTTGAACCTGTTGCGCAATAAACTTTGGTCTACAGCTATTTGCTCCAGTTGGTGGCTGGACTCCTTCCTTTATTCCGCAGGGACCCACGGGCTCTGCCCGACCAGCTGGGGGACTGAGCAGCCTTGCATCTAGATTTTTCCGTAACACTTCTTAAACTTGGGAATGTCTGCATGTGACCCCATCTCTACAGCTCACATAAACACCACGGAGAAGGTGGCCGGAGCCTGAAAGGTGAAAGCCTAGGCCTCGAACGCAGGACTCAGGGATGCTTCCCCCATGGAGACCTGGAGCCCTTCTCCTTTGGAAGGGACCTCCGAGGAGGAAGCCAGGGCGGATATAAAGTTCCTTTCCCCACTTGCCAGGGGCCTGAGCTCCATTTGGGGTCCCTCCTTCCACGCCCCAAGGTTCCCCCAAGGCTTTAGGGAAGGAAACTGAGGCAGGCTCTGCTTGTTCCCCAGGGCCCTTCGGGGGGGGGGCTGTGTCTTCCTCTGGCCATGGCAGCCCTCAGGAAGCCTTGGAAGAAAGGCAGGAGACCCTCAGCTGAGAACAGCCAAGTCCAGTTCTTCTCTGCAATGGCTTCCTCTTCTGAGAGCTCCCTCTCTCTTGTCTGGGCTGGACTGGGAGGACCCCAGTTCAGCCAGTTCCCTAGAGTCCCCCCACTGCCTCCTGCAACCCGAAGGGATCCGGAGTGGGAGCGACTTCTCCTGTTGAACTACCGCCTGAGGGGGAGGAACAGAGGTCTTGGCCCATTTTGGGGGGCGAGGGCCATCCAGAAAGGGCTCCCGGGACCCCGAGTTCGAGAGGCAAGAAGGGGAGTCTCCAGCCTGGCCTTTCCCCTATTCCTGCAGGTGGAGCCCTTCTCCTAGCGCTGACTCTTGGGGTGGCTGGGGAGGAGAAACTACGCGTCCCAGAATCCTTTTGGTGAGGCAGAGGAGAGGATGGGCTCCAAATGGATGCCTTCCTTGGGGGGGGTGAGGGCTAGGCAGCCAAAATCAATAGATGGGGGGGCGATTCAATGAGCCCCCCCCCCCGACTGCTGCTCTCCTCTCTCTCCCCGGCTCAATCCACCCACTTCCGGGTTCTCTCTTGCCCTCACCACGCACAGAGCGTCCTGCTTCCCTCCAATCACCGACTGTCCCGGAAGTGAAGCTGCGGAGGAGGCCCAGGAGGCGGTCCAAGGAGCTCCCCTTCCACAACAACCCTGCCAAGTTGGCCGCTTGCACGTCGCCCCCTTTCCAGCAGGCAAAGCTACAGGGGCCACTCACTTCCTGGCTCTCCAAAAACGGAGGAGGCCTTTGACCCTTGATGAACCTGAGAGGAGCCTTGAGGGGGGCAGAGAGGGGCCTCTCGACCCTTCCCAGACTTTTCCCCCAACCATTTATTACTTCTGTTTATGAAACCTGGCCACCCTCACCTCTCCTGCAGCCCTGGAAGGAAAAAACAGACACACGGCATGCATTTCTTTTCAACACGGGTTTATTCTCCAGGTTGGCTCTGCCAGTGGCGTAGCGTGGGTTGTCAGCACCCGGGGCAAGGCAAGTAATTTGCGCCCCCTAACCCGTGGATTTGCGCCCCCTAACCCTAACCCCCAGATGTTGCGCCCGGTGCGGCCGGCCCCCCCTGCACCCCCCACGCTACGCCACTGGGCTCTGCCCCACGGGGCTTACAGTCTACAGCAGAATCTACACAGAATGGGGGGGGGAGGGCGAGTTCTGGGCTCTGGGGGGAGGGAAGGGGGGCAGGTCCTTGTTCGTATTGAGAGAGAGGGCCGAGCTGCTCTGCCTGGCCGTCTCTGCAGGGACGTTGCGGGGAAACGGGCTCCTTTTGCACTCAGGTCTCTAGAGGGGATAAACTTGGGTCTGGACTGTACCACTTCAGGTCCCCCGGAGGGGGAGGTCAAGGGACACCCAATGACCCACATTCTGTAAGTGGAGGATCCCTGATTTATTTATTTGGGGGGGGGAGGATATGCTGATTTTGCTCAAGTCAGTCTCCCCTCCTCCAAAAAGGTTCTCTCCCACAATCCCAAAGACAACACAGGCCCCCGTCAAGAGTCTCCCAGAGCATGTGCAGAGTCTGCGGCCCAGGACCTTAGGGTTGCTTTTGATGCAATTTCTGCCTTGCGGGGGGTTGGACTAGGTGACCCTCAGGGACCCCTCCTAATTCTACACTTCTATAATTTCACAGCACGCAAGTGAGGAGGGGCAGGGACTGTTAGAAAGGGGGGCTTTTGCTATGCACAGATCTGGCCCCCTCCTTAAAATCACAGCTGTGAATCTGCAGGATGCGAAGCCAAGCAGACCCCTGACCCCAAAAAGGAAGGGGAAGGGGGCTTCCAACAAGGGACCGGAGGGGCAAGACTGAGCAGCGAAAGAGGAGGGACCCAGGAGTCCGGGGGCCTACGATCCACTTCACCCTTTCAATGGGATCTGGAGACAGGCAACAAAACAAGCCGGGAGCTGGGTTGCCCAAAGTCCGTTACTGCAGAAAGAAGAGAAATCCGTGAGATTTTGACCCAGTTTGGAGAGGAAACATTAGCTGGCTGGGGGTTGCAATTGCAGGAATTGCTCCACAACAACCCTGCGAAGTAGGCAGACTGGATCCTGCCCCCCAGCCCCCCTGCGAGCTTCATCATGGCCAGGGACTGGGGATTTGAACCCAGATCTCTCTGCCAGGGCCTAGTCTGGCCCTCTCACCACTGCACCGCACTGCCTCTCAGTGAGTGGCACAGAGATATGTTTTTAAAAGAATAGAAAAATGAGGAATCGAGAGAACTTGGCAGTCTTGGGAGCATCTTGGACACTGACCTCGGATTTGGGCTTCTCCGATTTGGGTTTTTCTTCAGAAGCTAAAAAGGAGGAAAATGAAGTAGGGAAAGGTTAATGACGAGAAAACCCCGGGAAATGGACAGGAATACTTGAAAGCATGCAGAAAGCTAAAACGGAAATCAACATTTCTGAGCCGCTGGGCAGGGATGTTTTTAGCAGGCGACCAAAGAGAGTCTGGCCAAGGCGCCTGGTTGGTATCAAGAGGCGGGGAGTTCCAAAGGATCTTGGAGCCAGAAGGGACCCTGAGGGTCATCTAGGCAGGAATCTTTTCCCCAAGGTGGTGCTTGAACCCACAACCCTGAAATCAAGAGGCTTTCCCAGCTGAGCTTCTTGTACTGGCAACTGTGGGAAAGGGGAGTCAATTGGTCAGCGCCAGTTCCGCCAATCAAAGGCGTCAGGTGGTGGTGGAGAGGTTTCTCAACTGCTTTTACTGTCAATATTTGCATGGTCTTAATAGATTCTGAATTGTCTCCGCCAGGGAAATAGGGTGGGATATAAATAAATATAATATTTCTATTTTTCATTATAATAATTAGACTTGAGGGAGGCTGGGTTATTTGTTTTGGTTCTCATTTCTATTACGTACGTTGTGTTTTCATTGTGCATTTTTATGCCACAAACTGCCCAGAGATCCAGAAAAGGAGGGTGCTGTGCATGTTTATAGAATCCTAGAATTGTAGAATCAGAAGGGACCCAGAGGGTCATCTAGCCCAACCCCTGCAAGGCAGGAATCTCAACTAAAGTATCCCCCCAAAATATTGACCAAATGGTAAAATAGGACCATATCGATAACAAAAATAACAGTACAGAAGGGGTGGGTGGGAACAACCTTACCCCATCGGAAGAAGGACCGCAAGACCCCCAGGAGCACAATGGCGACCAGGAACAAGCCGATGGCATCCTCCAGGGAGGGGCCCAGGGACCCTGGGGGGGGAGAAGGGGCAGAGGCAGAAGGAGGGCGTCAGCGAGGGAGAAGAGAGGCGATGTCAGACCCCCACCCTGCCTTGGCCACCCATTGCAGGTCCCAAAGCTGCACCTTCGCCCCACCCCCCATATCCTCCACCCCATGCCCGACTTGATCAGTGCCAATTTACAAAATCCTAGTTGGGAGGGTACCCCAGCGGTCATCTAGCCCAACCCCCTTCAAGGGAGGAATCCAGCTAAATCACGCAGGACGGACGACCCCCCCAACCTCCGCCAGTCAGGAATCGCATCCGCAGCCGGTCTTCTGTGCCTTGCTACCCAGCCCCCAGGGGACCCCGGCACAGACCCCCAAGTGCAGACCCCCACCTGCCACATGGAGCACAACCGCCTTCTTGACCCCCGCCTCGCCCAGCCCGGCGTGGCCCACGTGGCAGACGTAGGAGACCCCATGGTCCTCGGTCGGGACGGGCAGCAGGCGGGCGAAGCTGGTGAAGCTGAAGGTGCCATCGGGAGCTTGGCGGTGCCCCAAGTCCCCGATGTCCAGGAAGGCGTCCTGGGGGGCGCCGGACCCCCTCCGCTTCCAGCTGACCGAGGCACCCAGAGGGAAGAAGCCGGAGACCTCGCAGGCCAGCTGGGGCCGGGCGCCGGGGGAGACCGAGAGCGTCGTGGGGCGCAGCGTCACCTGGGGGGGCTCTGCAGGGCGAGAGGGGGAGAGGGAGTGAGCAGAGCGCCCCCTGCTGACAACCAGGAGTGCTGCAGGCTCCCGGCTGCCGGGAGGGGAGAGGGGGGCTCTTGGATTCGAATCCTGAGGAAGACAGGGTCCCCGTTGGCTTGATCAAGTGGCCAGGCGCTTCTTAAGGAGCCTCCCAGTCCAGGGGCAGTCTCTCTGGATCGCTTGGCTCTTAGAAGCCTAGAATTGCAGAAGTGGAAGGGACCTGCAAGGGTCATCTAGACCAACCCCTGCCAGTCAGGGATCTCAGGGCAATTTGGCCACTGCAAGGTTTAAGCACTCTCCCTATGTTCTTTTGGCGCCTCCAGGCCCAGGAGCAGTCTATCTGGATCCCTAGGTCCTGGCCGGCATTTGGACTGTGAGAATACAAGATGCTGGCTCCATGGGGGTCCCTTTGGGCAGTGGACCCCCCTTTCCCCTTCCTTCCCTCCGCCCTCCCTGCGAGGGAGACCCCCCGGTTGCTCACTCACCCACCACCTTGAACTCGAGCGCCTGCTGGGCGTGCAGGTGGGGCAGGTAGACGGTGCAGATGTAGGTGCCCTCGTGGCGGACGGCCACGCTCCGCAGGCGCAGGGAGGCGCCACCGCCCTCAGCATCCAGCAGCAGCTCGGCCCCCTCCTCGGCCACCGACACCCCCCGCGAGGCTCCGTCGAAGGCCAGCACCACCTTCCCGGCCCCCCGGAACTGATGGCGCCACTCCACCGAGAAGGCCGAGGCCGGCGCCGAGAAGCCGCAGTGCAGGACCGCCGGGCGCCCGAGGCGGGACTCCAGGCGCGGCGTCCGTGTGAAGACCGACAGCACCGCTGCGCAAGGAGGGAGGAGGGCGAGGTGAGCGGGAGAGATCCCCAGCGGTCATCTAGACCAACCCCCCGTGCAAGGGAGGAATCCCAGAAGGGAAAAACAACAAACCCAGGGCCGTGTTTAGCAGATGCGGCGCCAGGCTGCAAATGTCCGCCCAACACCCCCAGATTACCACCGATAGTGTTGGGGTGGCCGTAGCTGCGCACTGCCAGCCCTTGTGGGGGGCGCACCTCTCCCCCATGCCAATGCAGGAGAGCGATCCCCCGAGAGGCCAGCGCCCTGGCGAGACGCATCACTAAGCCCTATGGGAAAGACGGCTCTGAACAAACCCACCATCTATTTGATTTATTCATTTCATTTCGTGGTTCTCAAATTTGGGGGACCCCATAAACTCTCTCCCTTTCAGCCAGTGCCCTAAAAGAGGCATGGTTTGGAACAACTGTTTGCACGACCCAGTAAGATGAAAGCAAGATTTGAAACAGCAACAATTAGTTGCCAAATGACTCAAAATCCACTTCAAACTACTCCAAGTAGTTCAACCCAGCAGATGCATTTGATCCAGGGATTTCCACTTTCCAATTGGCCCACGGTGCCCCCCACCCCCATGAGGGTGTAACCAATGACTTTGGGCACTCCTAATTTAAATAACCGCATTTCTGCCCCGCCTTCTCCTCCCAGGGGCTCAAGGCGGCCTCCATCCCCTTCGCCTGCCATTCCTCCACGCTGACTCTGATGGCAGGTCTGTCTGATAAGCTGGTCCCTCTCTCCCAGGCTGCTGGCGCAGGGCTCTAACCGCTAGGCCGCGCTGCTCCCCTTCCGCTCGCCAGGTGGTACCTGCGGTGGTGGTGACGCTGCTGACCCCATCCTGCTGCTTCCAAGGCGGGGCCTCCTCGGTGTGCAGGACGCTGCTGACCCCGAACTCGGCGTCGGGGCCTGGATGCTGGCGATGAGCCACTTGCCCCTCTCCAGGGCGCGGGGGCAGCCCCCTCCGCCCGCCAGCCCCTCCGCCCAGGCGACGTGGGACTCTTGCGGCGCGTAAGCGTTGATCTCGCAGGAGGATTCAGCCTCGCTGGCATCCGGACTCAGCCACGGCGGGGGGGTGGCCGAGGCCTGACCGCCCCACAGGGCCCCAGAGGGGTCTGCCGGGGGGACAAAGCGGGGGGGGGGGTGAACCAGTGTTTGGGGGGGGGGAATGATGAGCCTTGTCTCTCCACTGCCGGACCCCCCAACCTACATCGCAGGGGGTTGGAGTGGATGACCTTTGGGGTTCCCAACTCCACCGTTCTGGGTCAAACCAAAACAACCAAGCAGCTTTGTACCTCTGAAAAGTGGAAATGTTGAGGTTGGAAACCAATTTGAAGTAGATCCAGAATAAGCATAACTAGATTAAATTAATCCACAACAATAGGACTCCTGAGTTCTTGAGATGATTTCTTTTGTCCATTCACTGTATTTATTTTTCCCAATTGGAACTATAAAATGGTGATTTTCTTGAGTCAAAATGGGAGTAACCCTGAACAATTTTTAGAAAAAAGCACTGTACCTATATACCAGAAAAGCATGTATGGAACTGTAGTTGTTGGCATATATAGTGATATACCTTCCCCCTTTTTTATTTTTTTATTTCTTTGTTCTCTATTCACTTTTTATTTCCCTTTTTATTATTCAAGTATTCTCAATTTAAATTGTGTGTGGGTGTGTGGTTGAACCCGGAGCCAGGCCTCTTGGCCCTCATCATAACTTTGCTTCATTCCAGTCCGTGGGTCTCAGTCAAAGTCCGCTGGGGGCTCCCCTGGGCCTCGTGGGGCTCTGGCACCCAGCACAGGAATTGCAAATGATTTTAAGCCCTAAGAGTTTAAAATGGATAACATGGATAATAGATAAAAATAATAATAAATTTTATTCATACCCCGCCCTCCCCAGCCAAGGCCAGGCTCAGGGTGGCTAACAAGCAATAATAAAAATAAGTTGAATGAATACAACTTAAAAACAAAATTAAAATATAACATTAAAATATTAAAATGTAGCCTCCTCGCAGGAGGAGAAGGAAAGGAAAAAAGAAAGAAAGGGACGGAGGGAATCAAATTGGCTCCAAGCCAAAGGCCAGGCAGAACAACTCTGTCTTACAGGCCCTGAGGAAAGAAATCAGATCCTGCAGGGCCCTGGTCTCATGAGGCAGAGCGTTCCACCAGGCTGGGGCCAGAGTTGAAAAGGCCCTGCCTTTGGTTGAAGCCAATCTAACTTCCTTAGGGCCCGGGACCGCTAGGGTGTTGCTGTTTATGGACCTTGAGGCTCTCCGTGGGGCAGACCGGGAGAGGCGGTCCCGTAGGTACGAGGGTCCTAGGCCATGAAGGGCTTGAAAGGTCAAAAGCAGCACCTTGAACCTGACCCTGTACTCCACTGGGAGCCAGTGCAGCTGGAAAAGCACTGGGTGAATCTGCTCCCATGGCAGAGACCCCGTGAGGAGCCTCGCTGCAGCATTCTGCACCCGCTGGAGTTTCTGGGTCAGCTTCGAGGGCAGCCCCGCGTAGAGCACATTACAGTAGTCAAGCCTGGAGGTGACCGTCGCATGGATCACTGTGGCCAGATATAGATACTGCGGTACCTCGGGTTACATACTCTTCAAGTTACAGACTCCGCTAACCCGGAAATAGTGCTTCAGGTTAAGAACAGTTTCAGGTTAAGAACGGACCTCTGGAATGAATTAAGTACTTAACCCGAGGTATCACTGTATTATTATTCAGTGTTGTTCAATCACACTGATGTTTTAAAAAGAAAAAATGTTTAAAAATAAAAAAGTAAATAGCTGTAGGTTGGACCCCGAGGGACATCTAGTCTCACCCCCTGCAGTGCAGGAATCTTAGCTCAAGAATCCCTGACATTTGGCCTTCCAGCCTCTGTTTGGAAAACCTCCAAGGAAAGCAACTCTGTCCCTGGAGGTTTAAAAACGGAGATTGGGGAAGGAGTGTTTGCCGACACTGAAGATCCAGAGAATCATTTTAAGTTTCCCAGCCTCAGTTGTGGCGCCTGTGAAATGGGTCTCCCAGTGAGGCTGAATTCAGAGGTGCTTCAAGTCCCTCCCGGTGAATGAGAAGCAGGGATGGGACCCAGGGGACAGGTGGGGGTGTCCTATGGGGGGTCTCCATACCCAGGACCTGGAAGGCCAGGCCGGCCTCCACCTCCGGGGGCAACTCGGACTCCAGGGCAGCTTCTTCCAGGCGTCTCCCGGGTGGGGGCAGGAACAAGATGGCGGGGCGCTGCTTGGGGGCGCTGGACATGCCTGAGCCTCCGCCCCCAGCCTCCTCCAGGAACCAGCAGCCCAGCTTGGCCAGCGGAGGCGAGGATCTGCCGAAGGACGCTCCTGCCAGGAGAGGAGGAGGAAGAAGAAGAAGGGGTGGACTGGATGCCCCTGGGGCCCCCAAAGCAGCCGCAGCATCTGGGTCCGGAGCAAGGGGACCCCTCCCCTAGCCCAGTCTGGGAGAGCCCTGCTGGATCCGGAGCAGGGCAAGGTAGACTGGCTCTGTCCAGGAGGCTCCATTGGGAAGAAGATGCCCCCGAGGGGGGCCGGAGGGCAGGAGCAGCGGGGCAGCAAGGGGCCGGATTCGGGACTCGGCCAGGAAACGGAAAGCGAAAGCGGAGGGACTATCCCGGGCCAAATCGCCCCCCGCCCCGCCCCGCTTTGCGACAGGCAGAAATCCCACCGGAGAAGTTTCCCCCGCCAGCCCCTTCCTGCGCCCGCTGAGTCTCTGCCTTGCAGGGGGAGGAAATCCGACCACGGGGGGGGGGGCGAGGGACGCCTCCTCCTCCGCCCCCCTGGGAGGGAACCCAGGCGTCCGGCCCCGAGCTCTCCTCCTCCCGCGCCCTGCGAGGGGGGGAACCCAGGCGTCCGGCCTCGACCTACCCAGCAGCAGCAGCAGCAGCGGGAGCCCCTTGGCGCGGAGCAGGTCGGGTGGGGCAGCCATGAGGCTCCGCAGGGAGAGAGCCAGGAGAGGCGGCGAGCGGCGATGGCGGAGACTCCGTCCGCGCTTCCCCTTTCGATTTCGGAGCCCCGGAAGGAGGGCGGGGCAGAAGGGAGGGGGAAGGGGACCCCCCTCCCAGCCCCCCGAAAGGCACCCGAAGGGGTCTCCGCGGGAGATGCTGATTCTGGCACGGCCGAAGAAGGGCCTCGAAAGTGGAAACAGCCGAAAACCAGCTGCCTCCCCCAGCCCCCCAGAATTGGGGAAGGAGGCGGGAGGCAGAGCGGCGAGCTGGGGGCGGCCCATCGGAGATGGGTCCCTCTGGAAGTTCACTTTGTCTGCTGGGACCCAGTTCTCTTGCATGGAATAGATTCACAGAAGGGACCCCGAGGGTCATCCAGCCCAACCCCCGGCAATGCAGGAATCTTTGGCCTCACGTGGGGCTCGAAGCCACGACCCGGAGATCGAGTGAGCAGATGAATAATAATACAGTAAGAATAACAACAACATCATTTTTCTTTCTTTTTAAAAGATCAGTGTAATTGAACAACACTTAATAATAATAATAATAATAATAATAATAATAATACAACATTGTTTATACCCCGCCCGCCCATCTGGGGGCAGGGCACGAGGCTGCTGTCTTGATGGCCTCTGAGCCCAGAATCACAGAGAACTCTGCACATGCTCTGGACCATCCGGATTCTGGGAGGGAGGG